CAGTTGACATCCTCGCTCCTCGTAATGTCGGAAATCTTGAAGGCCTTCGTCAGAAACATCCTTCGGTCAAATCGGAAAAGGATAACGGTATCCGTCCTATTGCGTACATTTCGACGCTTAACTTCAAAATTAGCTTGCAGGCACATAATCTCAAACCTTAAGACAAAATTTCAACCTACTCAACTAGGCTTTGGCACCAAAGGTGGCTGTGAGGCGGCGGTACATTCGTACTTTCTTAACTAATTCCAATGCAGATGTTCTTCTGAATGTTGATCTTAGAAATGCTTTTAACTCTATTGGTAGGATAACCCTGCTGAAAGAAGTGGCTAACAATACCCCCGAAATATATCATTACGTTTGGCAATGTTACAGTCAAAATTCAAACTTGTTTTATCAAAACCATATTATTGAGTCTGCGGTCGGTGTTCAGCAGGGTGATTCATTAGGTCCAGCTCTTTTCACTTTGGGAATTCAACCTATTATTTGAAATTTAAAATCCAAGCTGAATGTCTGGTATCTGGACGACGGTATAGCAGATGACGTCCTTAATGATCTTACTCATATTTTTCAAAATTTTAAAAATATTGGTCTTGAACCAAATACCAATAAATGTGAAATACTTATTTCTTATAATTTATCTAATTCTAACAGAGATACCTTAATTCAAAATTTTAATCAGATTTCTCTAGGAATAAAAACTGTCAATTCGGAATCGCTTTACTTGCTCGGTGCTCCGTTGTTTTTCGATAGTATTAAACCTGTTTTAAAAACAAAGTTTGATCAATTTTTAAATCATGTTGATAAATATATATTTTAAACCCCCACCCCCTTACAATTGTTTTAGAAAAAATTCTAAATTTGAGACTAAATACAATAGCCTGGAATCAAGCCACTTTACCTATCTGATTTGGTGGTATTGGTGTAAGAAATATTTCTAACGTCGCATTGCCTGTTTTCCTTGCTTTCTTATATGTTACACAATTTTAAATAATAAAGTAGACTTGTGCTTTGCTGCGGAAGGCAATGCAAACATGACTAACGCTCTGTCTCGGCGAAAATGTCCCACTGGAAGTTAACCAACAAAAACAGTGGGATATTCTGTTGGTACGGAGTGTCCAGAAAAATTTATTTCAAAATTTCTACAGTCAACAAGATCAGACTCGCCTTCTAGCTGTTTCGACTAAGGAATCTAGCCACTGGTTACATGCTCTACCATCAAGTAATCTCGGCACATTGCTTGATGAGGAAAGCTTGCGCATCGCCGTAGGAATCCGGCTAGGAGTGGCAATTTGTCAACCTCACCAGTGCCCTGTGGTAGCAGCGTCGATGAGTTTGGGCTCCACGGACTTTCATGCAAGAAAAGTGCAGAGAGGTTTTCCCGTCACGGTTCTTTGAACGAAATCATCCGAAGGGCTCTTGTCTCCATAAATGTCCCCTCGGTTGTAGAGCCTTGCAGGATATTTAGAGACGATGGCAGGAGACCCAACGGTATGACTTTTGTCCCTTGGGAGAGAGGTAAAGCCCTAGTGTGAGATGCTACTTGCGTTGACACTTTGGCGGCCTCTCATCTCAAGGGTACCTCTTTTAGAGCCGGGGGCGGCATCAGAGGCAGCCGAATTTAGTAAAATGACTACATATTTGTGCCATTTTCTGTAGAGACTATCGGTCCGTGGGGTCCGCTTGCAGTGAAATTTCTAAAGGAACTGTATCCATGACTGGTCGTCACTGCTGGTGATAAGAGGGCTGGTTCTTTCCTAGCTCAAAAACTAAGTATAGCTATTCAGCGAGGAAACGCAGCCAGCGTTCTTGGCACTATACCACGGGGAACAGGTCTTTTTGACTATTAAAATTTTTAGATTTAGATTTTCTATATTATAGTTTCTTCTTTTATATTGTATATAATTAGTTTTAATCGTTAATATTATAATTTCAATTATTATTTTAGTTAAGTTCATTACTATAATTTTTGTAATATAAACAAACAGTTTAACTTTAATTTGACCCATTGATAGTCAAAATCCATCGAATTATCATGGACAATATTTTATTTACAGAATAAAGTATAATAGAAAAGAGTCATTTTAATTCAATATAACTCTATTACATAATACTTATTAAAAGTCTTTTTTTTACCTCTACTACAATAATCTTACAAACATGGAATTTGAAGCTTGAGCCACGGTATAGCATTGTGGTAGTTGCAGCATAAGTAGGCATGGACCCTCGTACTTTTGCCGCTATTCTCACCGATCGATTTGTACATCATAGAAAACGTAATAGTAAAGTTGCAGTCTACGTATTTCCCATTTCTGTGCACAGTCCTTCTCTAATGATTTTGATTATGAATCAACCACCGTGCTGGCCCGGTCTTCACATACCTTTGAAATATTTTTTTTATTTCTTAGACTATATATATATATATATATATATATATATATATATATATAGTCGTGGTATAAATCACCACTCAAAATTGCAATTAAAAATTTGATTGATGCCGTTGGAGATCGAACCCGGATTGCTTGCATTATATGAAATTTATAGCGGGCGCTACCCCCTGTTACCGGGGCTCATACAAAACGAAATGTTTATTCCATTATCTGTCGAAGCTATGGCTTATCGTGGCATGTCCCACAGCCGACCGGTTGATTATCTTAGAGGATAAAGGTGTCCTGTACTGCGCACAGCTTGTATTTGCCCCCTTCCAAAAACCCAGCTAACAAGGTGTAGGACTTTGCATCACATCTCAGTTTTTAAGGGATAAATTTCTTTTCAAGAATGCGCCATTAATCAATTTCTTAAACCAATACTTAACATGCTGATCATGTAGATTGGTAAGTGCAGAATGAAACGCTGCTTTTCATCTTCAAGATGTGGAATGTTTTTATTTTTATAGGGATAAACGAGCATAGTCAACCTGATGGTAAGTGTATGCTATGGCCCATAGACATATATATCAGTGGCCTATAAATACTTAAATTTAATTTTAATTGAATTTAATTTTTTGTATAAGTATATTCTGCATTGTTTGAAGAAAAACATAACAAAACAGAATACATAGTATGTGCGTTGGTGGCTGGAGCGTTTTGAGTTCCTACACTTAGGGGTAAATAAAAATGTGTTAGTAGTTAAATTCATCTTTATTAATAACTCTTTTCTTTAATATTACATTTGTATTGATGAACATATCACAGTTAAAATATTATGTACATCACCAACCACTAAAGAACTACTGGCCGCAGTCGATCTTATTAAGGCTGGCACAGGTTTTACACCAAACAACCTTGTTTATTGTGCAACCTAATTACTTAATTATTTAGGCTGAGAAAGGTCTAACACCATACAGCTTTATTTAATATACATTTTACTTACTTAATTCTTTACAAATGCAGATCGTAACATTGCAAAATAATAACGACAGTATCTCAAGCCACCCAAGCGAATAAAAACCTTGAAATTTATTCCATCATCGGAGCTTGTTTCATAGTATCCACCAAAAGTTCACATGCGCAGACGATACTTAAAATAGCACCACTTTTACGTATCAAAATCCACTTCAAACAATTATAAAGGAGCAACGATCCGCCAGCGTTTAAGTTCCCACCAAAATACCGCCCTGGCAGAGGAATCGCAAGCGCTTCCTCCTGTCACAAGTAATAGATTGAAAGAGTCGATTGACACTTGACAGTATTCAATGGATTAATGTTGCCAGTTAAAGTTATACCGGTACGTGCAATACAATAGGTATATGTATAGGTCCTCAATCCGCCTATTGTTTATACGACTAGCAACGGATTAAAAAGGCTACTAAAGTAAAGCACTAATACTAGGTCTATTCGAACCCGACGACTGCTCTTTGTTAGTTTTTAAAGACAACCATATCATGCATATTTAACATGCATGAATTACAAAATATTAATAAACTGATTATAAAAATATGAATCATGAAATCGCCGGTATCATTGACCACCAAAATCACCGAACACACAATATCACAAAGCGTGCAAGCAAAAGCACGATTGAAACTGTCTGAAAGTACCGTAGGTACATACGTTCCAATATAAAACCTTATCGACTCTTGAAAGGCAATATTTACCAAACGACATGTTGGACGATATTGAGTTATATACATCATTGAAATCAGCAAAAAAATCTGCGTCGATTCATCATAATTACGATATTTTCGATTACATTACTATTCACGATCATACTCTCGTACCGCTAAGAAGAGTTTTGTTGTCGCTTGGTAACTTAGAAACACACACACATTTTCACCGTTTTCGGCGAATAAGCGACTAAAATTTTACCGATTTATGAATAACTATCACTTGGTAGGTTAGATTTTAACTTTTTACACTTAGTAATTTTTGCCTTGACTCGAATTAATGCGTTTAAACATAAAGTATTTTTTTCCTTACGATATCTAGGGTATGAGCATTGCTTAAGAAATTTTACCTGATTATTATTTTTATTTTTTCTTGATTTAAGACTTTCTAACACTCCTTAATTATGTACTCATTTTCATTTAGTGTTTTCTTCCTAAATGCAATGTACTGTAAAACGTTATATAGTAGTATTTTCCTGCTTAAAAAGGAAAAATTTTGTCATTTGGTAATATTTTACCCGCCGTTTTTTTTTACTGTTTTTGTTACTTAGATAACTATTACTGATATGAAATTTGTATAAAAATGATGATGCTTATCCCCGTTACACCTATTTTGTTTTATCGCATAAACGCATTGGAAAGCAGAATTTGAATGGCTGTTGGTAATAAAAATATCGATTGGTCTTCACAGAACCGTCGCGTAGGCAACCCGCGTGCTCGCGCGCACCGCACAAAGTACGTCGCGTAGCTTGAGATATCGTGTTTTCATTATAAAGATCGTATGAGTGTTCTTTGCAACTTATTTAACACGCATTTTATAAATTGATTTTATATTTATTGTTTTAGTTACATAATGAATCGTAATAAGCGAATAGTTAACATAATTAAGCAAGCTATGTCAAACGCGGGTGTGGCTAGCAGGAATTTGACCTTGGTAATGTACCTGCTTGGTTAAATACAAAATCCTTATTCTCTCAATTGTAACTATTAGAAGCAACTAAATTATATTTAATTTTAGATGCCAAGATATCGAGAAAATACTCGTACGTACAAAGATAAAAAACTGCAACGATTGGAACAAGTTCGCAAAAATCTTAATATTATGTTTATTGAGCCGGTATGTTTTTAATTTATATTAAATTTACTTGTGACTCGATTCTATTCGATGATTTTGATATCGCTTCGTACACATTTTTGTCTAGTATTTTATCGGATGAAGGTTGAGAAATTTTCATCTGATAATATTAATGAACGTATTTTTAAACCTATCTTTACGACCTTTCTCAGACTTTTACTTAGTTTTGATACGCCAGACTGAAAGAATGGTAGAATTTGCAGAATTGATACTTTCTTGGGCGTTGCTTGTTACCAATTCGTATAAATTTTTCACGCTATAGTATCACGTTACGAGCAAATTTGTAACATGTGGTGCACATGCTCTATTTTCTCTTGCTCTACACGCTTTTAATTGTAAGTTGTTAAATTTGTACTGAACGAACTAAACACCTTTTTTTCAGGATGAGACACTTTCAGATAAAGGCCCTGCAATGACATCTTTTCAAAGTACTTCTGAGACTGTTACAGCTGAAAATAACATGGAGATGACTGGCCCAATAAATAACGATCAACAGCAGCAAAATTATAGTGAAGCATTGTTGGATGTCAGGCCCCACATTAGAATTCGTACATGCACGTCTATCTAAAGAACAGAGTATAGTCCCAGTAGATTATTCTTCAGATTATTCTGTACACTGAAATCTGAAAACCGGAATCGGACGGTGTTGGCAATGATACACTCGAAGTTACAGCAATGCAAACATTTAGAAAACGTACAAATAAATTATTTACTAACTGGTCATACGTATATGCTGGTCGACAGTGTTAATGCTGTTTTTGAAGCTAATCTACATAAAACAATTATTTATGCACCATCTCAATAGTATACTTTTTTCACCACAGCTAGAAAGGACCCTTTCCCCTACGAGGTTGAAAAACAGACTTTTGAAGATTTTTATAAGTGGGATTCTGTTGCTGAAAAGTACTTCAAACCTTACGCGGAAAATAAGTAAAATCAGAATAGCAACATTCAATAAAAGTAAACTTTCAAATATTTCCGGCAAGTATTCCATGGACAAATCTGCTAAGTCGAGCGTGGTTGAAAACCAATCTAAAACTAGGGTACCTATTATATCGTGTTACCATTCACGTCTTCCGATAGCAAAGGCAAAATATAATGACCTTATAAAACTTTGCAAGGACAAAGTTATACCTGCTCAATTCCATAAAGAATTTACCGATATACCTTGTTCTGCATCCGCAAAAGATGCTTTGCCAGAATCAGACATCGAAGACATGGCGCCTGATGATGCTTAAATATTTGGAAAACGCTTGATTTCTGTTTATTAACTTTAATATTAATATTTTTTTTATATAATTTTAGTGCTACTTTCACGGGAATATTTTGATAATTATGTTTTTTATGTAAGTTCGTAGTAAGTGAAGGACTAACTATGTAGATTATAAGTAAACTTAATTTAGTGATTCTTAAAGTCGCTGGATGGATCTCAATCTATAATTATTAAGCTCGTAATCTACATCTACCTCGTTCGTTAAAACTTCGTTTGATCTTAGTTCAAATAAGTTAATAAATATTTAATAGTGATAATAAAGTACAATAATATTTCTTAATTACATTATATCTTGTAAAAATTTTATTGACAAGCTTACCTAATATGCCAAATATACCTAATAACTAGTAATTAAAGCTCTAAATTGTTAGGACGTGATTTAATAATAAAAAGTAATTTAAAATATTTTTTGAAAATTGTATCTCGTACCTTTTTATGTGATTTATATCATGTTTCTTGAAAAGAGTTTCTGAAAAAAAACTATTATCAGTATTGTAGTTCTATTCTAAATTCCTAAGTAATATAACAATGTAAGACTGCTGAAAAAGACTGATCTGATCTTAAAAACTTGATGTCAATGGGTTAGTTTAAATTTGCTATAACTAAGAAATGAAAAGGTAGGTAACAAAAACCCATTCCAATTTTGCATTTTGTGTAACAGTAATTTTTAAAAACTTGATCGCAATTTTCTTCTTAGCTGAAATTGTGTTTTATCTACCTGTACTGATTTTGAAATTACTAATAAATACTATTTTTTAAAATTAAAGTGCCTTATTATTTTATTTTACTTTTCAAATAGTTGATTTAAGCTATCTTAACTATTCAACGACAGCCCGCATTCTTTATAAGATCAGCTATCCACGTTACGAGAGATTTGACTACAATATTCGTAAAGAGGTCTCTATAGAGTTATAGACATCTTTAACAAGGGTTAGTCACTGGCCGAAAACCTCCACCAACTCGCACTGGAGCAGCGTGGTGGAGTAGAGCGTCCCTCATCAGAATGGAGGCCCATACTCAATAGTGCACAAGGGACAGGGGCTGTCATGATAATGACGAAAACCTTTATCCGAAAGTTTTAGATTTTGTGTACTAAAACCTAAATTCGTTGATACTTGTCCAAAACAATCCTACACTAACCTTATTTAATGTGTGCTATGATTAAAATTGGCTGGCAGAAAAGTGTTTTTGTTTTCTATTTAGATCATTTTACCTATAATGTCAAACATGCTGCTCCTGGATGCGTCATTTTTCTTCAAACACAATAATAAAATAATGGAGTTTAGTCAATTTTACTTGTTTTATAATAAAATTTTGATGTCAGTAAGTAATTTTTACCAGTTTGTGATTTTGATGAAATTATTACTAACCGACACTATTTCATAACATATTGAGAAATTTAATAATCTTTAAATGCCAGTTTATTAAGCCTTTAAACTGCATTTAAAATTCGTTGGAATTAAGTAGTTATGACAAAAAGGCGATTTTTTAGAATTTTTTTCCAGAAATAAGAACTTTAAAATGCTCTAGTGTAAAGTTGTCAACATGTGGTTTGGTAAATATTGCCTTTCAAGCGTCTTTATATTTTGTATCCTTATAAGATTCAGGTTCTAGTCAAAAATATCTGTTATTAATATATCCTCCACAAGGATATAGTAATTAAATATTCTAATAAGGGGGGATTGTAAACCAGTCCATCCAGTCCAAAAGTTTAGTCCAAAAGTCCACCTGATGGTAAGTGGGTGTTGTGGCCCATAGACATCTCATTCTATAGGTCACAACTCTTCTTAGTTGAGGATAAATCTACATTTATCCTAAATTAAGAATCAATAACATGCGAACCCCTGTGAACTAAGATGGAATGATGGGTCTTTTTTCCAGTAAAAGGGTCTCCGGTTTTCTACGCTCACCACTCAAAACACAGCAGCATTAAGCTGCTATGTTACACTGGTATTGCGTGTAATCCTACCCCGATCGAGCCGACCTGTTAGTACTACAACCATAATATAGCTGCAGCTTGGCTCAACCACGTGAAGAGTTATTTTAATTCGTGAATTATTTTAAAATGTCTTCGCTTACAAATATATTACAATACAATGGCTGTGCACAAAACTCGAAACAAAACGAAATAAGAACAATTTGTTCGGAGTAAACTCTGAAAAGGCAATACCACAGTGTTCTGCTATCTCGAAGATAAAGGACATAAATCTAGCCGACATTTGCGCTACTTTGGCATTTTGTACTTTTTAACGGTACGGGTCTCAGGAAACAGCATTTTTATTCAAAGCAGCCACTTAGTAAATAAAATATGTCCGTATACAAAAACAATGAACAGGAGTCGGGTGGGACAGTCGCGAGTCCTTTTTCCTCGTTTCCTGCGAGTTTCCTCCTTTTTGTGTTTGTGTTTTTTTTTTAACTTTGTGTAACGCCAGATGCGAGGGGCTACAATCAGGGCAAACAAAGTACACTTCCTAGCAACGAAAAGTATTACATTTTCATTATAATTTATAAAATGTTACTTTATTGTACCTTGAAGATGTAAAAATTAATTCAAATAACATTATCTGATATTAAACAAGTTTTTTACAAGTTATTTTTTTATTAACTAACTGTGTAAATGATTTAAATAAAACTAGTTTTTACGAAGTTTATCACGTAATTTAACTTATTTTATAGTCCCGACGTTTCGAGCACTTTACAGCACCCATGGTCACGGGCGAAACTGAGGTGTTCGTCGTCCCAGTGTCATAGTTAACCAAAATAAAAAATTTAAATAATTTTTGTTCTACCCAATATGAACTTTCAGTATCATGAAGTTTTGCAGTTGTATGTTCGGGTTAAGATTTAATTTTATTAATTACAGATGGCACCCAGCCATCTTCTCTATTGAAATTAGGGTGTTTTTCGATTTAAATAGCCTCGCGAATCATCTTTGGAAGGAATCGGTGTTCTTTAACGAGGATTTGTGGCTCAAATCTGCTTATACACTGCTAAATCTTGCAGAGGGACATTACATTTGACTGATGGTAAAAACTCACTAATCTTCTTCGGTGACTTTAAGTATGTTTTAATAGAAGCACACCTTAAGATGTAGCCTAGTGTAGTTTGTCTTGTCAGTGACATCTCTGACATATGGCAGTACAGCAGGCGCATACTCGACTGTGGCCGGCTTCACTCGTTCACTGTGACGTAGGCACGAGACACGAAGCTTGTTGTCATGCAAAACTTTCTTGACATGTCGGAGCTCGGCAGCCAGGTATTTACTGACACAGATTCCTCGTGCTCTCTGAAACAAAAACTTACCCACGGTAGCTAAGTACTGTGAAAGACGGTGGTGAAAATCTCCGTTTAAATATCTATATGTATGGGTATTTTTTCTATACACAATGTGGCTTAAAGTGTCAATAGAATTCTGAATTACTTACACATCTAGAAAATCTAAAGAATTGTTCACCTCTAACTCCATTGTGAATTTTAGAACTTATGGAGTTAAAATGGTCTAATAATGCAGTTAATTTATCTAAAGGCAGAATTGTGAAAGTGTCGTCCACGTACCGCATGTAGAATCTTGGATTTACGGGAGAAGTAAGCAGGGCTTTCTCCTCAAAGTCTTCCATGAATATGTCGGCAACAGTGGAAGATACAAAAAAAGTTAAATCCGTAGTTTTATTCAAGGAAGAAGCTCGTTTCACTAGTATCCCTAAGTCGTATATGTCCGGATAATTCTCCGGTGGTAAACGATTCAACATAAAAATCATGCGAGGAAGAAAACTCCCAGTAAATTGCACAGTGGTGAATCCATATAGTGTAGATATTATCGTGAGTTTTGTCGCGATCTGCAATGCGATTGGCGGCTGTAATCAATCCGAAGAATGTTTCTCAATGTGTCGCACACCCCGTTTTTTTTTTTTAAGTGAATGCAAAAATATAAAAGGAACAGCCTATAAAATTCCACCGCTAAACTTATGTTTACCTAAGCTTAAGCTTACCCCTATAGATTGCCCCGTAGAGGCGACCTTGCCATAGTCGCCACGATTGGCAAGCAGTTTGGCAACGACAGCTTTGTATTATTTTAAGTTGTTATTAGAAAGATGCTTCTGCCCACCTCAGTTTTCAGTTTCTCTAAGATGCCTCTTGCGGCTCATAAAAAAAGAAATCGTTTTTTTGTTCTGATTAACTTGGCCACAATTGTACCGCGTTTTGTTGGTAATGGCACCGAAAAAATGTTTAGTTGTTAGAGAATTTGCATTTGTTTGAGTCCCCGTTTCGTTTAGCGGTTACTTGAGCACTCGTTA